CCTCTTCGCCATTATTCCGCCACCTCATCTCCGTCCCATCTGTCAAGCCCAGCGGCACTCGCTCACCGAATTCAGCGCTCGTCTAGCGTTTTTGACAAGTTGGGCTTCGGTTATCGTTAATCATCGGTGAGGCGGGTGCAGCCATCATCGCTTTCCGTTTTGGTCTCTTTCATCCCCTCGCATCTGTTTTGTACACACATAATCACCGCATGCATAATGGTTGTCCCCTGTGATCCATCGAAGTAATATAAGTAATATACCGTCCCTCGTCGCAATATTCTATGCTCATTGCTGTAGCTTTCCATTTTATTATTCTATCGAATAATGCCGCTTATCTATATATTGAACGTTGATTGAACGTGTGGTACAATTGATATTGGTAAGCTAGAAGGTGCCGGAGTTCGATCTTTTTTCGCGAGTTGTTTTGTTCTTGCTAGTTCTCAGCATCTAAGTAGTGATGAGACGGACTCCGTAAACGATCACGGAGATCTGTGCATTGAACAAAGAAGTTGTACTTACTCTGGTCTCCAGCAGAAACTTGTGTGGTCTGGATTGGGTCTGGCCTGCTTTGGGACTGCTGCTTGACTGCTGCACGTCGCCTCATCCGAGTCAGCGTCGCCTCCACTGCTAGCAGCCGGGTAACGGACCGTAATGATGTTGACAAGCAAGAGCAAACGAAAACCTCTCCTTGTGTTTGTGGTTGCTGGCATCATCTTCCTGTTCGTATGTTTGACATATCAAGAATTCCAATGCTATCCTCTTCACAACATTCCCGTGGCAGCTTGAACAATACCGACGCAAGAGTCATGTAGCGCACCTGGAACATACGCGTCGTTGACAGGTTACGCGCTGGAAAAAATACCGCAAGCAACTGGACGACGATGAGCCCAAGATCGAAGTGCAGAGCCGTGTATCCGTCCACAAATAAAGGAGAAGTATCCTTGCGGGATAGTAACGCGTTCAAATCACTCGGTTTATAGGGAAACATCTTCCCGGCCTCCCTTCGATCCGGATACCTCCTAACGTTTTTTCCTGGAAAATCCTGACGTACGTCCTCGTCGCACCTATCTTCTTCCTTCTGTTCTTCTGCTTTCTCGCCGCCCAACCACAAACCCATATGATGCGAACATCACACCCTTGGAGAGGCACGCCCCCGGGCGTCCTCGGTGAAACCCCAGACTTTGTGGCCCATCCAGTGTACTCTTCTGGCGCCTCAGTCAGAAGGAACCGTCTGGGCTCTGGTCAAGAACGGAAAGCTGATGGGATGGCGCTGGTTGTTTTGGACACCAGATCCTGCGTTGTTGCGAAAACCCTTACTGATGACATCCCTTGCTTAGGTTACGGAAGGATGTATTTTGCTTCATAAAGCTCAGAAGATGCAGAAGAACCGTGCATCCCATCTGAATGATATTACATCTACGACGAATCAAATGTATGTCATCTTGAATTCGCTTCGTCAAGTTTCAAGACAGAAAGAGCAGCGTGAAAAAAATGCTCGCCAAGTATCAACGCGAACATGCGCACTCGGTCTTCTTGGCTTCCTCGGAGATCGACTGCATACCTGTCTCCTGAAATATCGTATCCATTGTTCCTTAACCGCGAATGTCGTTCACTGACAAGACAGCCAGCGCCGGACAGACAATCACTGTCAGCACCGTTATCAACGCGCATATAAACTGGCGGCATGTCATATGCAGATGCACACTTATCACTAAATGGCGATGTCAGGCTTGCTAGATAAAGCTTGTCGCGTGTCTGAACGCATTTCTTTCTTCGCTGGAGTCATCTTATTCACAAGCTCATTACGCGACGAGGATCAGGACAATGACATATGTACACGATAAAGGCTGTGGTTGTTAAAAATCGAGCTGATATTTTCTCAAGTGATAAGAAAAAATAGGTATGTCGGGATTTGAGTCTACACTGTTTAACATTCACTATCTTTTCCTCTTTGAGACTCGGTAAGCAATTTATTCTCCTTCAGGATTCGTCTTACAGGATCCACTGATACTCGAAGCTGTAGTACATTATATCGTCAACAGTCAATCACGAACTAATTCTCTTGCAGCTCCTTCTCCACCGCATCTGCCATCTCGCCTAGCGTTTCAAACCTCCACGTCCACTTTTGCTTCGCGCCCGGCCCCCCGGGCGCAACATTGCAAGTCACCGCCGCCTGTCGATCGATCCACACGCTGCGCATGCCCAGCCGGCTCGCGGCTTCGTGGTCGTGCGGCAAGCTCTGAGCCACCGAAAGCACCTTGTCCCTGACCTGCTCGCCTGGCCCCAGCCCAGCCTGCAGGTCCCCGAAGAGCGCTGGCTGGGACGCGAAGTAATCGAGGGCCGCGCGGAACCCGCCCAGCGCGGGCTTGTAGCACCCCGTGTCCTGCGCGGTCATGATGAGGGTGAAGGGCGACCTGGAGCCCGGCGCGGCCTGTGGGTGCCAGTATCTGTGCGGGTTCGGGCCGGGGAAGGTGTACGTCTGGAGCTGGGAGGTCACGTTCGCGACGGCCTCGGAGGGGCCTTCGGCGAGGAGTCTGTGCGTGTAGCGGAAGGACTGGCGGTCGACGTTGGAGAGCACGACGAGCTTGAAGTGCGGCGCGAGGCGGCGCAGCGCGTCGACGGTGTCGGGGAACACGGGCCAGTGCTGGATCGAGTTGCCGAACGCCGTGTGCGCGTCCTCGTCCCCCAGCGCGGTTGCGCCTGCAGCAGAGGTTGATGCGCCGGCATCGGCGGTCGAGGCGGCTGCGGGATCTGTGGTCGCCAGCGTTGCACTGATACTTTCCTGCCCGCCACGCCCAGACAGCGCCTTGATCCGCTCCTCCAAGGTCGCGTGCAACTTTGCTAGGAGCTCGTTGTACAGCATGTCTGGGTACTGCGCCTGGAGATCGCCCTCCACCGACATGAATGCGGACAGGGCCTCGGCGCGCGTCCAGTTCTTGGATGCGGGATAGCGCGCGAGGAGCGGCTGGAGCGCAGTGAATATTCCCGACTCCCAGTCCTAAGTAGAAGCAATGCAGAAAGCGAGAGCGTATAAGTTTAGACTGGAGATAGTACGAGGTGCAAAGGGTGAGGAGGAAGGCACTCACTGCGAGGGTGCCGTATACGTCGAAGATGAGGACCTTGTGGTCAGTGAGCTTTTTGGTTGATGCAGATGAGCTGGACATGATAGATTTAGAGGCGGTGGGTGGAAGGATTATTGAATGTGTTGAGGTATAATGCAGGGGACAGGCGTTTTTATCTTGAAGATGACATCGCGCATCGGCACCGACGTCATCGCGTATGATTCGATTGATCACTTTGGTGATTTAAAGCTGCAATTATATCAAATCGATTATCATTTGATTTATAAGGTCTGTTTTAGGAGACTATGCTGCAGCCCCGCCGCCACAGCTCCAGCTCAAACACCACGACGATGTCGGGCTCTTCAATGAGAGTGGGGTTCGAACCCACGCCTCTGGCTAGCCATATCTCTGGCGTTCGAATTCCATTGTCTACAACGCGAATGAAGGATTCTATGCCTACCGCTTGTGCTTTCTCCTACCTAGTCAAAGAACTCGATCCTTCCAAGACATTAGCCTATTGCAAATTATGAGTGTCTACAGCAAGGAATATAGGAATATATACGCACTCTCGTGTAACCATCATTTGGTCCTGAAAGATCGGATTTAAGTATTGCTGAAGCAACGCAAACTTGAGATCTGGGAAAGGGACATTTAAAATGTCTGCTTCGTCTTCCTCCAAGTTTACGACGGGTACAGACACATTCGGCCTTGAGGTTGTTAAGCTGCCCATGGCCCGCTGGCTGGAAAACTTGTTCGCGCAGCGTTCCCAAAGTAAAAAAAAGTAAAAAGTCTTACCTGATTGGTTACTTGTAAAGCAACAAGGCAGGCGAAGGAATTTCAAGTTCGAGACATCCATCCATATGCCAGGAGAGCGCTCATGCACATAACTCATAGCCAGTCAAATCAGGGTCACTCTCTGGGCAATTCTGAGTAATATGTTGATGTATGTCGCCAACGGTTTCTTGCTTTGGAGTTTTTGGTAGAGGTCTGTGGTCAAGCGGAAGACCGATTATTTGCCTAACTGAAATCTCGTTTGGCAACACGCCTGATCTTCGTTTTTGCATCGGTGAGTTTCGACAAAAGCCTGATGAGAGCTCCGTGGGTTTCTCGAGCTTTGATGTCACAGCCTGGAAGAAATCAAGAATACGAGGATATCCTTTGTCCTTTGTCTCTTCTGTCGCCTGCCTCAACAAACGATTGACCTGAGCGGTCGTGTTTTCATAAATTTTTGCGTCGGAAGTCATGCATATGAGAAATTCTTGAAACAGTCCATTATCGTGACACTCTCGCAGTACGTGCTCTGCGGAACGAAGATGCGATTGAACCAACAGGTATTCCGTCCGTGAAAGACCAAATAAATTGGCTTTGTCTGATGAATTGGTAACAGTGGGATCGTTCTATATCTTGAATGTACCTTACAGATAGTCATGTAGTTGTCAAACTTACTCGATACAATCTCTGATATTCCTCTTCCTTGGCAAGAGCTTCTTGTCTGCGATCTTTCTTTTTTTTGGCTGTAGAGCGAACCATATTTTCGACAGCTGCAGAAAGAAACAGGGTCCTTTCATTCTGCGTCTGAAAATATACCAATAAGTAAAATTAATATCTATATATAACGGAAAATATACCTTCAAAATCTGACCAGGCAAAGACTTCACGTTTACAGTTAAGTACCTCCCCGTTGCGGAGGCCAACGAGATCGCTGACGCTTAGCAGCAATTATTAGTGCGTCGCGACCGTGACTTTGGCACCGACGTCACCGCGTATGATCGATTGATCACTTTGGTGATTCGCTGTCTGCTGCCCCGCCGCCAGAGTTCCAGCATGAGCAACAATCCAATTTATTCGATTTAAAAAAATCGAAAGAGGCACCACGAGTCCACGACGATTTCGGGCTCTTCGCGCTCATTCATCCAACGCAAAAAAGGCAAAAAGAACTGATAAGAGAGGGATTCGAACCCTCGCCCCGGAGGACCAGATTACGTAATCGGTATGTGGTACCGATACTGGTGAGCATCCAATGCTCTGATCCTTAGTCTGGCGCCTTAGACCGCTCGGCCATCTTACCGCGTGAAGTAAAATACCTGAATATCCACAGGGTGAGGATGATCATGAACTCAAGAGCAGTGACCGATTCTGAGTGACCAAACAAGTACGCACCTCTAATGAACCTCCCGTCTCGACGCTCGTCACTGGCAACTTGGTTTGAACCCCATATCTCTGACTACCGATTGAACTCGTTTCTTTGTTCAAGTTGAACTCATGGCTCTTGCTGAGTCGCCTCATGCCTCCATCCATTTTTCATAATACTCCTTCGAACTTGTCAGCTGTCGTCTGACTTTGGTCTGACTCGTCTCTCTCAAGATTGTTCGGTTCGAAATTTGAAGGTTTCTTGTTGATTCAACAGCCTGTGAGGACTTTACCGCTAGGTTTGGCATCGATGCTCCCGATGCCACCGTTACTGATGTCATACGCGCAACATGAACATCCGAGGAGTCGATTTGTGCGACAAAAATGCCCGACCCAATGCCCTTCCAATTCCTAGATGACGATATCTCTTTTCACTGGCAGGTCGGAACTCTTCGGAACTCCATACCCTGTCCTTTCTTCCTCTTGCTGAAGGGTGTCGCTGAAACCGTTTCGAACTCGAGCTGGATTCGTATTATTTTGGCGTTGAATTGGGCCGCGGCGTAAGATTTCAAGCAAAATTCTGAATTCAAGGATTAAACTCCTTACCTGTTATATCCGCCAATGACGTGCCGCAAAGTATGGCGTATTTGAAGCTCACAGCATGTTGTACGGGCTTTTCTGGGCCTATCGCTTATCAATATGCATATGCAGACCTTCCTTTCCGAACATCTGCCTATTTCACCTCCTGCGCTTGGATATTCACGGTGCCGAGTTTTGATTCCCTGGTGATCAAGGGCTTTTCTGCGTCTGTAGCTTAACAGTATGCCTATTCAAACCATCCTTTCCGAACAATTGCCTGTTTTACCTCTTGCGCTTGCATTTCACGGTGCCGATTTTCGATCCCCTGTGACCTTGTTCCCTTCTTAAATGCGGCGTCTCGGGCCTCTTCTCGACCAAAATACCATTTCTCAATGTGAGTTCATGCTTTTGAACTACTTTTAGAGCCTGTTGAAGACCGAGAAATATCCCTTTCCGATTGAGCGTTTAGGCTGCCGAAAATCTTTAGCCTGCAATTTTGGCACATGTCTTCAACTTCGTCAAGATCTCGGAGAGCTAGTACCAGAGACAAGTTCCTATTGGGCATGGAGACTCTTTAAATAAGTGCGCAGCGATAAAAGAAGCTCAGGAATACGACGAAAATACGACGATGACGCCAGAGCAAATGTTACATGCCTCAAGTTTTTTTTTTGAGTATCGTTTTTTGCGAGTATAAAATGGCACTTGCAATTGCGAAACATATTCAGAACAAGGTGAACTACACTCCTCTAGCGATCCTCAGCATGCTCTCTAACAATATCCTTTCTGCGGCGTTGCTGTCTTTCGCAACTCTGGCCTCGGCCCACTGTACGTCAATCTCTTTCTCGTCTTTCTCGAATCGCTGCTAAAAGACGCAACTCGATTCATTAGACACCTTTCCCTCTTTCATTTCCAATGGCGTCGTTACAGCCGCATGGGCCAATGTGAGGCAGACAAACAACTACGACAGTAATGCCCCTGTAAGCTTTTATCCACTGACGCCTCAAATCTAAATTCATTATTAAAAAAACAACAGGTCACCGATGTTACTAGTTCTGACTTGAGATGCTACAACTCTGACTTCCCCACCTATGAGCCTGCCACAGCCACCGTCTCTGCTGGATCCTCTATCGGCATCCAGGCTAACGGACCCGTTTATCACCCCGGTGTACGTCTCAGTGATATCTCTGACGACGAAGGATAGTCGGTGCTTAATTCTGAACATCAGGTTGTAAACATCTACATGGCCAAGGCCCCCAGCAACGTGACCGGCTGGGATGGAAGCGGCTCCGTTTGGTTCAAGGTAATAAGTGTCTCCTTGAACTTCGATTTCTTTCAACTGACGTTGTGTTTCCCAATGCTATGATATAGGTTTACGAAATCTCTGCAGTTACTGACGGCGGAACTACCATCACCTTCCCTTCTCAAAGTGATTATATGCTGTTTTATCTGTCACGACTGGATCCCTTCTAAGCATCGATTTCGTCGTTTAGATGCTCTGTCCTACAGCTTCAACATCCCCACGGCCCTTCCTTCTGGCCAGTACCTCGTCCGTGTTGAGCAAATTGCCTTGCACGTCGCATCGACTTTCGGAGGCGGTAAGCTACTAATTTGACTCTCTACGATAAATATACTGATCTTGTTGTTCTAGCTCAATTCTACCTCAGCTGTGCGCAGGTCAACGTTGTCGGCGGTGGGAGCGGCACCCCGGGACCTCTTGTCGCCATCCCAGGAGTCTACACTGGAAATGTGAGACGTTGAATCCCATTGATTTTTAACAGGATTTGAATTCTATTCCCTATAGGAACCCGGAATCTTGATCGACATCTACTACCGTAAGCTAATCATGGGAAACAGTTCATAGGTCAATTTCTAACGGATAACGTTCCTATTTTTTATTAGCCATTCCTGCCACTTACGTTCAACCAGGACCTGTGAGTAATTTTTGTTAATCTTATTATATCTGCACGGTAATCTAATTCTATATTTTCCCAATAGGCTGTCTGGTCTGGGTGAAAGGTTCATTAGTGCCGATAATTGGCATTCAATAGAACCCCATGTAACCCGAATCTAAACTATCCGAATAATATCGGATGTTGTACTTTTAGTCGTGCTGTCTGTATCCATCTTGACCCATTCATTACCTTTTTCCCTCTAGTTCATAAATTGGCACCTAGACCCTAAGATCAGCGTATCTGAATCGTATCTCACTTCCTGCTTGAATTTCTCTTTTGATATTTCGAAGCTCAAAGACTGATTAGACTATCTGGTCGAACTTCGTAGACGGGGCCACTAAACTTCTCCCTAGCTATTATATACGCAATGGAAAGCATGACCTACTTTAAGCCCACAGCACGTTGTACTTAAGTCTTCCCTACGGTTACAGTGTTACATACGGTAGCTTTAAAAACGCGCATCCGGACCGCCTGTTCCGAAATTTAACCTCAACTCTCTTCCGAGTCTACTCTCTTCAACACCTCTTGCTGATTACTTGCACCCATGTATACACGAAGCTCACTGCAGACTCCTTGTGACCTGTCCATCTTCTTATAATCCCGCAATTCTGACCCGCCTTCAATCCAAATGCTATTTCAAAACCCCAACTGCTGCTTTTTTACCACTCGTGGAGCCCGAGGAATATCCCTTTCCGTTTGGACTGCTTAGGAACCGAGAGGTTTTAGGGTGAAGCTTTGCCACATGGCCTCGGTTTCGTCAAGATCTCGGAGACCCAGTATTATGAACGAGCTCCTATTGGACGGAAAGGTGCTTTAAAATAGCGCACGGAGAGAAAAGAAGGTCAGGGAGATGACGAATCCACTCGAATCCATCATGGCGACACTAGGTCAAAAGTTATATGCATGGAAGTGTATTTTCGAGAGCTCTTTCCGCGACTATAAGATGGCGCTCGGAAAGCACTTTCAAAACAAGATTCACTGAACCATTTTAGTAATCCTCAAGATGTTTTCTGGCAAGATCCTTACGGCGGTGTTGCTCTCTTTTGCAACTCTTGCTTCATCACACTGTACGTTCCGTTCAATTCACTATGATTCTCGAGCAGGAAGCTAAAAAATGAGTGAATTGTGTCAGATACCTTTCCCTCCCTCATCGCCCAATGGTGCTGTTACTCCAGCCTGGAGTGATGTGAGGCAGACTAACAACTTCCAGAGCAACGCTCCTGTGAGTTTTTCTCTACGGCCTCCTTAGCTCTAGACTCATACAATAAAAACAATAGGTCACCGATGTGACGAGCGCTGACTTTAGGTGCTACAACTCTGCATACTCCACTCTCCGTGCTACTACAGCCACGGTCGCTGCAGGTTCGACCATTGTATCCAGGCCAGCCAGGCTGTTTACCATCCCGGTGTATGTTCCGATAATCTATTCCAGCGTATGCGACCATGGGGGGTACTAAAAGGTGGTGTTTAGGTCATCAATGTCTACATGGCGAAGGCCCCATCCGGCACGGATGTGTCCACATG